CAACAACTCCAACAACAACCACAAGCACAACAACAAACACAACAGGTAATGTAAGATGCTAACATCCTTCAGTGTCTAATGGTGTTGTGTCACTATTTTTAAAATCATATCAATTTTGAGACAGATCTAATATTTATGTTGGTATACAATGCATGCGATGAAATACTCTCATATTTTTACATTGACTAAATTTCATTAAAGCAAAAGAGTACACTATTTTTTCATAAACTCTTTTTTCCTTTCATTAGAAATTCTCATTTTTAACATTTCTGGCTTTCTAATTACATTTTTTAAATGTGTGTTCAGGTCTAATAGTATTAATATATGCTCCAAATACATTGTGATATCTTCAGTAGCTCTGTGAAACTAAATTGATGTGGAGCATGCAAGAACACAACCATATTTTAATTTAGATATATAAAACATTAATTCTTATGTGAAGGATGAGTTGTACAGGTCATTCTGCTTCTGATTTAACAAATCAGTCTAGACACACCCTTCACATTCCAATAGCTGTTAGACAGATGGTACTCCTCCATGGAGTCCAGGAGCTTCTGAAAAAGACGTAATAATATCGTTAAATGGAGACAGGTAAAATCACTAGGAAATAATTATTTTTATACATGGATCTATAATTTGATAACAGTCACACTATTGAATGTAATGTTCTTCAATGGTGACACTATCACATTTTACAGTTTTAGTTATTTTTACAGTTTAGTTGTTTCCGTAAACATTCTGAATTACAGTATAATCCAAAATATTGCAGCTTAATATTTTTTCATTGCATGTTTTTTTGCTAAAAATCATTCAGTACTGTATATTTCCAAAACGCATTTTAAACATTTTTTATTATTTCCACAATTATTATTCTACTTTGACAAACAATTTTGTTAATTCAAATGCACAATTTACACAGCACAGTGATGGAATGGTTAGTATTGCTGCCATGTAGCACTGGGGGTCTGGGTTCAGTGTGCTATCTGTTTGGAGTTTGTATGTTCACATTGAGTTCATGTGGATCTTCCCCAAGTGGTCTAGTTTTTTCCCACAATCCAAAAGCTTACAGGTAGGTTAATTGTCATGTGGGAATATTGGACCTGGTGTGAATGTGTGTGTGTTTGTGTGCCCTATGATTAACTGGTGTCCTGTCCAGGGTGTACCCCACCTTACACACATTACTGGTTGAGATAGACTCCAGCACCCCAACACTGAATTTGACAAAGTGGTTTGAAAATGAATGGATGTAAAAATTGCAAAACCCATCTTAGTTTGAATATATAAAAAAGCCTTCTTTCTTGCAATTGCAATTGCAAATGACTTGCCTCTTGAGGCTGCTGAACAGCATTTAAATTGCTTTTAAATGACCACAGTGGGGATTCAATATGTGATTATTAGTTAATTGGCTAAGGGTATAAAAAATTCACATTTTCACATGGATGAAGTTCAGCTTTTGTTTACTATAGGGGTGTGCAGAGTAAAAGTTGTGTTGCATTCTTTTTTTAGTTTTGTTCTTCTATTTGTTCTGTTATGGTCTGAAAAGATCTAAAATAGTCTTCAGGCGTTCACATTCACCTAAATAGTCTTCAGGTGATCACATTTAGATCAGACCGAAAGTGAATACACTGTGTGACCATAACAGCAATCGAAGAAGAAAAGGTACAAGCTGCCGCCTGGATAATTCCCCTGTATTCTCAGCTCAAGAGGGAGCCTTGTTTAATCTGTTTCTCTTCAGCCTGCCTTGGTATCAGCAAGTTACCACCCTCCCCATTTTCAAGAGCGGAGGGGAGAGCTCTTGACAATGAGGGGGGTTGTACTGTACTTTTTATCTTAGTTTTTGTACATGGAGACTTTGTGCCTGCTCTGATAGTGTAAGGGCCAGTCATAATAAGTTATCCTTAATTCCCATTTCTAAGTTTCAGTGTCAGTGTAAAATTAAAATATCACAATCATGTAACATCATGTGTTTTAGTTTTTCAAGAGTATCAAGCAATGAAAGACAAATCTTTTTTTTTCCATTCACCATTCCACTCAGTTTCTTTCACTGCAGATCTTTATGTGCTAAAGTATGTTTTGATGCTGCTTTTCAGGTTTTCTTTTCACTTTTAAAACTCTCTTTCTCAGAGATCCTATATATCCCATAATACGTAGATCCCAAACATGACAAATGAGGGAGAGGAGGAGAGAGTGAATATAGATGACGTGAATATAGAAGTTCTAAGCAAATTCTTTTGTTGATGCCAGTCAGTGCCAGCCAATGATGATGCTTCTCCTCCAACTAACATATGTGACAAGACAACTAGTTTAATTTGTTATAACTATTATAAGCCAGAATTGCATTAAGACTATCAAATGAGAATTTGCTGTTGATATGATACTAGTTCTACTAACCCTTCCTACATATATCCTTCTACACCAGAACCATGTTATTGTGAAGATCCATTTTTGAAGAAGAAATGGAATTGTGATGCAACCTGGAATGAGAGCTGTTATAACTACACTTGTTTTAATAAAACCATTATAAAACAACCATACTCATGCCCCAAAACTGTGAAACCTGTGTGCCCCAGAAACTCAGAACCTAAGAAGATCACTGATGGCTGTTGTGAGACATGGGATTGTGATTGTGAGTATAAAGAATATTAAGCTTATACAGCTCATAGGACATAAGAAACAGATAAGTTCAAACACTATGTGTCATGTATTATATTCTTTCATTTCTTCATGGTTTTCTACATTTTCTTTAAGGTCTATGTGAAGTTTATGGAGACCCTCACTATGTGACATTTAGTGGAACTCAATACACCTTCCTGGAAAACTGTACTTATACCCTAGTCGAGGAGAAGATTCCAAAATATAATTTTTCTGTTGCAGTAGACAACTATTACTGTATTTCAGGAAGCAGGGCATCTTGTGCTAAAGGGATTATATTAAGATATGAAGAAAATACTGTGGCTCTAACCATAGTAAACAAAGTCATTGTGGTAAGTAATTTAGACTTAAAATACAGTTTTATTACAAATTTAAGAGTGTTTTTGTGGTGGGGTTTTAAGACAATTTAAAGAAGGTCTGGTTTTCTGTTGAATTTTTAAGTAAAAGTAGCATTTATGTGACTGACAAAATTACTTCTGTAATGTATGATGTGGGCACCTTTGGGACAATGGTGAGCTTTGCTGCCTTGCAGTGCTGGGTCTCTGGACCCAAATCCTGGGGTGCTATCTGCAAAGAGTTTATATGTGCTCCAGTCTCCTCCCACAGTCCAAAGAGATACTTGGAGGTTAATTGGCATCCAGGGTGAGTGTGTGTGTTTGTGTCTTTGTACATCCTGCGATGGACTGGCAATTTTTCCATGGTGTATCCTGCCTTTTGTCTGTTGCTTGTCGGGATAGGTTCCAACTTTCCTGCAACTATTAACTGGATGAAGTACTTCGAAAATGGATGATGTACAGTATGATGTTGAAGCACTTTTTTGACTGGAGGTTAACCTGTTTGAGCCAAAATGATTAAATTTCAGAAATCTCAGAAATGAACTAATTGTAAAACAGTGTATGGTAGATCACTTAATTATCTTTGTTTAGCATGGCCTAAAAAAATACTGAGACTATAAGCCTTCCCGGTATCACTTCTAATTTGCTGACATTCACAAAAATAATGTATAATTATTCATATGTTGCCTTATTATTTTTATTTATATGTTGCCTTTTTATTTTGCAGTCTACATTTAACAAAGCTACTGTGAAACCTCCGTATGAATCCAATGGAATAAGACTTCTGACAACAGAAAACATAGTTATGATTTTTATTGACAAGATTAGATCAACAGTATCACTAACTCCACGCAACAGGGTCGAAGTGAAAGTAGCAATGCAGTATTTTAAAAACAATACACAAGGACAATGTGGTATGTACAATATACACAAAAAAGATTTGTTGACCACTTGCTATGATTCACTGCTGTGCATGATCTATAACAAATATCATTAGTACTCATAATGATTTTGCAATTTCTTAATTTAGATTTCTTAATGAACTTACACAAATTCTTATTAGGTGAATATACAGTACTAATTAATATTACACTTGAGCACATCAGTAAGAAAAGTGCACTAAAAAGTAAATGAGTAATTATCAGTAATTGAAAATCTGACATCTACTCCAGCCAAATGTATGAAATAAAATAATTGAGTTTATTTATCTACACAGGATACGCACTGACATTGTTTTCTTCATTTTCAAGGTGTGTGTGGTGGAAGCTCCTGTGTACGTCGACATGGTGAAACAGAGAGTGATTCCTGCTGTGATAAGACTGCTTATGACTGGCTGTACGATGATCCTCAGAAACCCTATTGTAAATCTGCTCCCCAAAACATATCCTGTACGACACCTTCACCTCAACCTCCTCCAACTATTTGTTCCCCACCTGAAAACACATGTGAAATACTTAATCATGAGTAAGTTTGAAAATTGAAGCTTACTGAAACTTATTTTAGACTACTTATGAAGACTCAGTTCAGTTAAGTTTATTGTCATATGCACAAGCGCAATGAAATGCTTATTGCATGTATGCTCCAATACAAAGACATTAAGGAAACACCAAAACCATAGACACGGAACAGCACCAGCAACAACAACAAGTTAAATAACATACATCTTAGAAAATAAAACATCAGTGTGAGCCAGTGGTAGAGGTAGAGCTCAGTAATCTGACAGCTTGTGGGAAGAAACTGTCTCTGAATCTGGACGTATGTGCCTTTATGCTCCTATAATGCTTACCGGGGGAAGGAGGGAGAAAAAATGAGAAACCAGGATGACTGGTATCTTCAGCGATACTTCCAGCCTTCCTGAGACAGGGAGTTGTAAAAATGTCTGAAATAGGGGGGAGCTGTACTCCAATGGACTGGGCTGACCTGATCACCCCCTGTAACACTTCCCGGTCAGACAACGCTGACGACTGACTGACTCTTCTTTGTTCTAATACTTACATTAAAAATTAATTTTATCAATCTGATTATTTTAGAATCTTCAATGAATGTCAAAGGAAAGTGAACCTAAGAATGTATGAAGAAAGCTGCATATTTGACTTTTGTCAGTCAGAAAATATAACCATTATCTGCTCCTCACTTGAACAAGCAGCAAAACGTTGTAAGGACAGAAATATCTGTGTGGACTGGAGAGGCCTTACTAAAGGAGTCTGTGGTAAGAATATTGTAAATTTTATTTTTAAGAAAAAACTTTACTCAGTTTTTGATCCATAGATATAACCGTCTGTCTGTGTTGTGATCTCTGTTGGAACATAACACATGTTTAGAGAGAGTTATTAGGATTTGGCAAGTTAAATATTATAGACAGTGGTTAGTATTTGTCAATTTGTAACATTTTGGGATAGTTAACAATAATTTGTGTGTAGCTGTCTGAACCCAAGCTTTAGCAATGATTAGCTGTCTCAAAATGATAAATAGATAAATAAAACTAAATTTGTAATACTTCTGTAGTTTCACCTCAATGTAACCTGCCAGAACCAAGATTTTGTCAGGTCAATGTGACAGGGACTGTAAAGAAAATACTGTAGGCACTGAATCATAACAGATATGAATGGTATAAGTCTTATTAGCCTTATTATTTCCTTCATATTTTCTAAATATCTACATATAAATAAAAATAAAAATAAAATAGGAGGCAAAGATTATGCCAATATTGACTAAGTGCCCAAATATCTCAGTGCAACAGCTGACTGCTCAAAAGGAATAAAATCATGACTGAAGACCACTGATTTATAGTAATGCTTTTCATATGTTATGGGTTAATTTTAATGTTATTGGCATGCAAATTAAGATATCTGAAATAAAGCATTAAAATTCAAATAAAAACAAAAGAGGTATGGCCATTGTTTCCTTGTTAGTCATTTGGCAAACTCAGCAGAATTCATCATACTGTATATAAGAACATAAATAGTTAAAAACAAAAGGATATTCAGCCTATTTCATACCTTCGGTTACTCATAGGTTGGTCTATTATCTCTAACATTTAAAATTTATCATGGGATGACTTGGTAGAATAATATAATTTAAAGTGTCTCAGACACTCAGATTGTGCATCAGCAAATTGCCACTGTGAAGTGACTCCATACCACAATGTGATTTGTCACAGTGCACAAAGAGTCTTTATTGGCCAAAGAAGACTGATATGTGGGGAGTGTGGTACATTAAATGTAAGTGAAAACATTAGCTTCATTTAATCTATTGTCCATGTTTTTTAAATTCACTTAATATGGAATATTAATATGGAATGATATACCGCATAATTTTGTTTCAGTGGTAAAATTCTCATCTGTCACCTGGAAGTTCTGGGTTTGATTCCCAATACAAGTTGTACTTTTAACAAATAAATACTCTTTCTCTAATGATATAATACATAATATGGATACTATATTGACATTTTATTATTTTTATATATATAGTATGTTAAATATAAAAATAATATCAAATATAGATTAATAACATGAATGAACATGAATGAGTTAGCAAATGTGCAAATACTGTAAAAACCAGTGCTACTAGTCAGACCAACAATCTCCTGGATTCTTGGAGAGAGTAAGGGAATTTAAACATGTCATTAAACAGAAATAACAAATCAGGTTTTCATTTGTATATTTGCCTTTAAATGCTAATCATTAAAGCCACTATGTATAATATATTTTTTAGGATTAGAATCTAAAATAACAAAGTGGCATTAAAATGACAATAAAGTACAAGCATTTAAAATTAGTAATGTTATGAAACAATGTGTTCACATCTCCCTCCTCTGCGTTCCCCCTTTTGAGGACAAGGAGGCTGAGAATTTCAGTGAATCAGTTCATGCTGTAGTTTACGTTATACTTTACCTGACCATTATGTTCTTAATCATGAACATACATTTGCAGATTTACACAGTTTAAACTAGAAAAGCAGGATTCAGTACAACAAATAAAGCAATAAAAACAGTGAGATCTGGTGGTAAATTAATTATTGATTTTTAGGTTTATGCTTCCTCACACATCAAGGACAATAAATGGGGTGTGGAGTTTTTTCTTGGACTGTGAGCTTACAGTATGTTAATGTAAACTAAGGAGGTTAGTCCTAGGACAGCTTGTGAGCTCCGCTTTTCACTGTGACAACATACATATGTTTTAACTTAAACAATATTTCTCCAAGATTGTTAGCTCTGTGCAACAGCATTGTGGTGTCATGAGGAAAAAAATATAAAAAAATAAACTTACATGTAGGATTAGGACTTTTTCTCATCTTATTAGGACTTAATTAACTCCTATACTTACTTTTTATTCTCCTCTTGTATATGGCAGGCTTCATAAAGGACATCTGCCCAGTATGTAACATAAAGCTTTGTTATTATGTCAAGTGGTTACTTTTCAAAAGTATTTTTCATACGAACACAATTGCTATTGTTTCTAACAATTGTAATATCAACATTTTGCAATGAAATATGTCATGCATGTATCTTGGTATAGTGTAACCAACATGCATTGTATCATTTGTTATCTCCAAAAATAGGTGGTGTATTTCTTTAAGAGAAATGTGTTAGCTGTATTTGGTTGGTTGCCCTGGTTTGCAGCAGTGATACATTTAGTGACGCTGAAAGGAGCATCATAAATACAGTACATTAGTAGAGGAGCACATGTATTAGAATACCATATTCTTCTCAGATGACTGAAGAGTTTTGCACTTAAGTTGCTTTGTCAAATTGCTAGAGTTCCAGCTTTCATTTTTTTTGTCTGCAATCTTAGCATCATTGTTTTATGTTAGTGTCACTGACACCTCATATATAAAAAAAATGATATGCCGGTGCTGAGAACTACTTTAATGGCAGCCAATGGTCCATGAGAAAATTTGGTTTCTTGGTTGATTTACATTATAAAAACACCTTTGCAAAGTTCTGAGTTCAGAGTAGGGAAAAGATCGGACAATGGTGACTTTATAATAAATCTAATGCATATTTGTATATATTCTTGGCATTATGGAATATATTATTGCATATTTTAAGTAACATTGTTACTTAAATTAGCATTAAGACAAGATATAAATTATTTGAATGTATATGTAAACCATTCATTCAATCACAACAGACTATAAAATGAACTACTTTTAGTATATGCCACTGAATAATCTTGGTTTGTGAAATAGTTCCAGGGTGTCACGTTTGTTACAGTAACTCTATGAAGGTTCATCTGTGTTACTGCTACTTTTATCAATAATATTAATTTAATCTTTAACGTACTGTAAAATGTACGATGGACTGGCGCCCCATCCAGGTTGTACCTTGCCTTGCGCTCGTTGCTTGCTAGAGCAACTCCAGCCGGGTAGACTCCTCATTCCCGCGTTACCATATGGTATAAAGTGGTTTGGCAAATGACATGACATGACATACTGTAATATATGAAATTAATAAAAATGTTAATATAGTATACATATTGTTTTATAAGAGAAAGAGTCTTTATTATCCCCAAGGGCAGTTTGTTAAAAGGTTAACCTGAACATTTGCTGGGAATCAAACCAAAATGCATAGATGGATGGAAAAGTGTAGTGTAAATAAATTAGATTAAAATTAGATCTAGAAAGTGAGTCATTATACCTGCTTGCTTAGCAAAAACATTTTAAAATGTTACACAGTAATACACTGTACTCATAAGAAAATGTTGGACATGGCTTCTTTGTCTTGTCTCTCAAAATGAACTAAATACACAGACTGATATTTGCATCAAGGTTTAGAACCCAAGTCCAGCCTTTTATAAAATATCAAGACTTGTGAAGCCATTTCTTATAAATTACAATACCAAAACTGCTCTCTAAACTAATGCTAAACCAGAACCTTTATTCCTCTTCTAAATAATGCACCAAAATACAACAAACGTGTTTCATTTGCCTGGTGGATCAAGTTTCTGTTCAACAATGAGATGCACCAAAGCCATAGTTTGGCCCGTAAAAAGGTGAGATCCACCAATAGGATATGTTTTCATTGTATGGGTAAGAGAGAGGGAACCTCCAGCAAGCAGATCTCTTGGACCAATCCTTCACCTGTTACTTGTATTTAATCACGATTTTGAACATGTTTCATGGGTTGTCTTCTTATCTGTAACTGTATAAAGAGTGGTTTCGTTATCCTTTCTTGGAATAACCCAGTTTATTTCTGGTGTTGCACAACCTAAAGTTGGTATAGAAATCTAAGAACACAAGTCAGCATGTGGCCTACTGTACCCTGGCCCACAGTTCTTGTCATACAGACCTGACTAACAGAACTGACCTGTAATGACTAATTGAATAGTGTTCTGAATGTTCAGCAGCTGTTAAATAATCTTTATGCAGTAAATATAAAGTACATAATAAGCCTTATAAGGTATAACGTTGTGTGAATGTACTATTTTATACACAGTAATCCATGCCCAGAGTGTTTTTATTTTTTTAATAATTGCATGGAATTCAACAAAAGTATAATTTAAAAAAATGTGTTTTTGTGCAAATGAATGTATTAATTATTCATACATAGAAGAAACAATAAGCAATAACTAAATATATGGCAATAACCAAATATATGCATAGCCCCTATTTCCAAATAGTTTAATTTAGTTAAATTAACCTTTATTTATTGGATTTATTATAATATTAGTATGTTCTAATAAGCATTTTTTTGTTTCAGATCTTAAATGCCCAAATGGAACAGTTTTCCATGAATGTCGCAATACAACGGATGGTTATTGTCAAGGAACGTAAGTACATCAGTTGTTTGTGTCAAAATTACCTTTGCAAATATAGGCAGGGATTCAATTAAGGAATTAAGATAACTCCAAAGGACACACGTTCAAGACCAGCACAAGTATGTCATTGGACCCCAGTTGCCAAATCCAAATGTCACAGAGGAAAAGACTAGCAACATTATTTTATGGAATCAGATTCAGTTGATAACCTGTGATGCCTCTTCATGCCACAGTGAACAAACAATGAAGTTCCAGGCATCCTCCTCAGTCCCAGCATCCTGAACAATGTGTCCTGGAGTACCCAAAACTGGACTTGGAGAAATACTGGTGGGGGGGGGGGGGGGGATAACGATGCTGGGTTCTTCTTCTGATGCTCCCAGTCCCTGGTGTCAAATTTTGAGCCCTTCTGGGTTTTCTGAAGCCTTCTTAACAAGGGTCTTGACTCCTCTAGGGGAAATGCAGTGAACCTGTGATGTTTTGGGTGTGGACAGGGATAACTGCCCAGGGATTGTTCAGCAAATGGCAGTATACAAATAACCAGGTGTAACCATGCATTGTTTAATCACACCTTGTTTCTAGGACCTTCTGTTTTGATAACAGGCACATTCAAACCTGTTTAGCAACCCCAACATGTCAACTTCTGAGTGGTGTGGTAAGTGCCCAGTGTCTGTGCTAAGAAGGCCTTTGATCAGAAGAAGAAGCTCAGACAATAAGGTGTAAAACTACACTAGGGTGTTGTTGGCCCATCAACAAAATTTAAATTCCGTAATACAGTCCAGGCCAAGATTCCCATTGGCCCTTACCAAACATCCCTCCTAATAATCCCCATCTATGAATTGGCTTCATTACTCTGCTCGCCTCCCCACTGATAGCTGATGTGTGGTGAGCGTTCTGGCGCACTATGGCTGCCATCACATCATCCAGGTGGATGCTGCACATTGGTGATGGTGGAGAGGAGTCCCCATTACTTGTAAAGCACTTTCAGTGGAGTATCCAGAAAAGTGCTATATAGGTGTAAGCAATTATCATTATTGTTATTAAAATCAATGCAGCCCACACCTGGTTCCCCACACCCGTTTTTTCACTCTGTGATACTAGCTGCTGAATCATCAGGTATAAGCATGCTCTTACAGTAAGTGTTTTATACTTAATATTAACTGTAATAATAATTACAGTGAATTGCAAAAGTATTTACAACAATGTACACATTTGTTGAAATACAAATGTATTTAAAGTGATTTTTTTCATTTAAGTTTTAATAAAAATGTTCAAACTGAACAGTTGTGATTAGGAAATTAAATTAAATTAAATGAAATTAAAGAAAAATCCAAACTTTAAATATGTTTATTACATGAGGAATCCCTACCTGAGTAATATGTTTTTAAATTACATGTGGTACATTATGTGAATTATTTTGGAAAATTCTCTAAAAATGTTGCACAACAAAATGGTGATTTTAATTATGCAGACATGCTTAAAATCTATCAGTTTGGTTAGGGATTATTCATGGAAAATAATTTTCAAACAATCAAGTGCTCATTATTTAGTTACTTAATTTCAAAGACATTAAAACAAACATACATTGGAGATAGCAGGCTAGAAGGTTCTGGAAAAAAATGGTTGAAGGTTACCATATAATGTACTAAATATACCTGCGTTACCTGTTTAAGTGAAATGTCAGCATTTATCTAAGATATTATTAAATTCAACCTCAAACATCTTTTTGATACTCTAGATTTGACTTGGCTGGAGAGAACAGAGGTCGCAGATACAAGTAAAGGTTTATTCCATGTTGAAAAGAAAAGAAAGGAAACACAACGTTTCAGCTGTGAAGACTTCTTCGGGTGTGAGCGAAGAAGGCTCCACAGTTGAAAAGTTGTGTTTCCTTTCTTCTCTTTTCAGCAAGGAATAAACCTTTACTTGTTCCTTTGCAGCCTACGCATGCTGACGCAGCTACCTACTTGAACTACTAGAGGTCACAGGTTATATGTTATTTGATATAAAATGCCACATAGTCTAATTAGCATTACTGCCATGTTGCTTACATTTTTCATTTAATCTTAAATATACTCTGTTTCTAGAGAACGTAAATCTGGGGAGTATCTGAAAGAATTCGTATCTGGATGTTTCTGCCCTGACAATATGCTTCGTGCAGAAAAACATAAAGACATTTATGTTTCAGACTGTTCCAGTAAGTGGATTATTAAACCAAATAATTACATTATCATCTACTCTTTTGCAGTGTCTTATTAATTTCAGAATGGCTTTGCTTATTGTAAGACTTCACACAGAGAAAAATGCCTCAAATGCAGCCATCTATAAATACCATGTTAAACTTCAGGTACTGTCATAGAACACTTATTGAGATAAGCTTCACTGTCAGAAGTTAATTTTTTTACTTGTCTCTATTACTGTGAAATTACTGTAGGAAAATGCAAGGAAGTAAAACATGACTTCCTCCATTTATATTGGTGCAAAGAATACATCACTTCAGATTTACATTTTTATCTAGTTGTCAGTAAATACTGAAACTGAGGGGAGATATACATACATTACAACATCATACATATTTTGTCAACAAAAATCTTTCAGACTTAAGATACACAATTACTTGTTTTGTCACGGACGTCCAAAGGGACTAACCGTGGGGAGTAGGAGAGCAGAAAAAGACCCATATGCGTAGCGGCGAGACGGGAAAAAGGCCCGGGCTCATTAGTGCAAAGAGTTCAGGAATGC